TGCCTTCCAGATTCTCATAAACAGGAGTCCATGAAGTCTAACTGCAGATTTAACACCACACACTCCAACAGCTCCTTCAGACTGACTTTCTGCAGCTCAGACTGCCACAGAGAGCCCTGCAGAGGCACTCAGGGCAGGGGACAAGGGAGCACTCGTGCTCCCTGCAGCCACGTGACAGTGACCCTCATGTCCCTGACTCAGCACAGGCATCGAGTCAGGCAGCACAGAGGAAGTGCAGCTGTCATGATTTCCAGTGCTGGCAGCTCTGTGTGGCTGGGGATGTCACCACTGCCACCAGATCTGCCAGACCCCTCTTTCTGAGCATCCTGAATTCCCAAGGCAGAGGCAGGAGTGTGTGACCAGACCTCCCTTCCCCTCATGCTCACAGATTAAGGGCACTATCAGCCTTAAGAAGAAACCTTTAAAAAGCCCAATTTTAAATCAGAGACCAATTTTTTCCACCAGTATCATGGCACAGCCCTAAAACTCAACCTCAGAACAGAACAACCTTATCTGCAGGTGTCCAAAGGGTGCTGATGCCTGGAAAAACCCTGATAAGCAACCAAACCAAGTGAAAACTCCAATTCTGACCTGCAGCCTGAGATTTAAGTGCAATGGCAAAACAGGGAGACTGTAAATAGAAATGAAACAATTTCCATGTGGGAGGAAAAAAAGAAAACCACTGGACAGCCCTCTCAGAGATCTGAAAATTTTGTGGAGAGCTCACAGAGGCTGCAGTACCAAGAGGAAGCTGCACTGAGACCCCACCACTCCTCCCAGCAGCAGCAGAAGGAAGAGAGTTGCCCACAAACAGGAATGCAGTCTCATGACCAGCCAAGGGCTCTCTTCTTTCACCCACTAATGACATCAGGAAGGTCACTGGTGGCTGTGAGGAAGAGGAGCCCCACAGACACAATCCCAGGAGCAAGGAGGAGGCAGCAGCAGCAGAGAGAGCAGGGCTGTGGTGGAGCAGCCATTCCTGTGCCTGGTCTCCTCTGAACCCCACTGCAGACAACACTTCCTGCATGTTTAATGTGATATTGAGCCAGAAAACCCTCAGGGCAAAACCAGATCTTCTCTATTTCTCTTAGAAATGCAACCAATTAGAGTAAGGAATTCTGTTTACATCAGCCTGTGCCTGCTTCTTTTTACTTTCCCTTGTAGTAAAAGGAGGCCTGGCAGGAAAAGTCAGCCTTTCCAAAACAAAAGCAGGTGCTCAGATCCAGGTTATTTAACAACTGCCTTGGACCAGCCACAGCTCTGCCACACACAGATTGCATTTCCCACCAACAAGAGGATGCTGATCTGGCCCTGTTTGGCCTGTTCTGCACAGGCTCCATGCTTTGGGTGGGAATCATCCCACAGGTGAGTCCCTGGGCTCGTGGGGAAGGGAGGCACAGTGAGAAAGCTCACAGCTTTCCCTGCCCCTTCAGCCTCTGCTGGACCACAGGTCCTGGTGTGGAGGATTGCTACACCCACAGCTTCCCTATCCCTTTATTCCCACATATCTCCCACAGCTTCCCATTGACCAGCTCAATAAAGAAGGGTAGAAAGTAGCAAAACCTCACAGAAAACCAGGGAAGTGCTTCTGCACTCTTCCACCAGCTCAGAAATCCCAATCCAAACTGAGCAGCTGACTGCAGCAGCACCTCAAGCAGGGAAGGGAACACAAAAACTGCTGGGTTTTTTTGTGAAATAAAATTTACTCTCACTGTGAAAGGTGTTTTCTACCCAGACCCTGACACACCAGCTCAGGCATCAGCAAAACTAATATTTTAGACAGAGGACAGATACAGAGTGTGCATCAGTCAGTCTGGATCTTGAAATACTGCATATTTGAGCTTCCACTGTGTCACACTTGCATGTTTTCTGGCCCCTGGGTCTTATTCAAGGACAGCAGAGCAGCTGCAAGAGCAAGGAAGAGAACAAGAACTGTTTTACTGAGGCAGAAAGGAAATCTCTGCTATGGGTATGCTCAGGTGGGGCTGTGCAGAGAGCTCAGTGCACTGAAACAAAGGATTTAAGGCATAATCCAACACAAAAATGAACTCAAACTTGCCAAGCTGCCTTAAAGCAAGCTAGAATTACTGAACTCACACATTTCCTTCTATGAGATAAAAGCCTGACTCTGAGCCTTTAAACATGGGGGACCTCCCCAGCTTAGGCACTTGGACACCTTCCTTCACAGATTCATGTGAGCCAGCAGAGAAAAGCAGGAGTTCAGGGTTACAGGATAAACACAAGCTGAGAATGGCAGGTAACTGAGCCCCTGTGAACCAACACTGCTCCCCAGGCTCCCCTCCCAGGGAGGGACAAATCCAGAGCCCCACAGCTCAGGAATTGCCTGGAACAGGAACAGGGGTGCTGCCAGCACCAATGTTCAGGAGCAGGGACAAACCTGCAGGAGTTTTACACCACCCTGATGCCAACTCCATGGGCACCTCTCAGGCCAACAACTGCTCAGAGAGCTGCAGAACCTCAGGACAAACCCATCCAGGCATGGAGTTTTCATGGTTCAGGTCCTGCTGAAGATGATTTTCTAAGATTAAGAGGGAAAATTACATTTTTTCAGCAGCCTCTTCTGTGAGTGCTGTACCTGCACTGCCACAGCTGGACATTGCTCTGCTCCCCACAGGCTGTTTGCTCACCCTGTGCCTGAGTTTATAGGGGGTTGGTGTGACAGGCTGTGGCTTTGCCTTGTGTCACCTCTGGGAAAGGACGCCCATGGATGGGGTCAGTAGCCAGAGACTTTGACCCCTTCCACCAGGAAACGTTTGAACAGCAAAACTCTCCAATGCTGGTCTCTTTTGAGAGGTTTCCTTTTGAAACCAACAGCTGAAAGAGCACCAGAGGGACAGGGTTAAACACATCTTGCTAAGTTTTCACAGTTGTCAAGAGTTTTCATCAGAACAGTGTGTTTTGGTGGTTTATTTATTTATTTCAAGAGAACCAAGGAGCCAGGATATTTTGTACTTATAAGCCCAGTTTCCTCTGAGAATGGAAAAGCTTTTCAGACATTACAAGCTGTAGGGTTTGGAGGTATCACTGCATGACCCTTGCACCTCTTGGAATCTCAGCACCAGAGCTGTCCTGCTCTGGCTGCTCTATCAGGAGGGTGTGCCATCACCCTACAGAACCTCCCTGCCTGCCATGGATCAGCAATCTGACCTGGACTTCACCTTTTTGATATGATTTGGGAAACACAGGCCACTTCCCAGCCCCTTGCAATCACACACAGCCACAGCAGACCTCAGAACATCAATTCCATCCCCAAAACATGACACAAGACAGAGATCTCAGGGGTCACAGGCTGAAAGGCTGGTCCCAAGCTGCAAAAACCACAGCTCTCCAATGCCCCAGCAGAACCAACACAAAGAGAACAGACACTTGACACAGGGGTTTTTGTTCCTCTGTAACAGGAGCTGCTCCTCTCACCTCCAGCAGTTATGCACTGACTCCTGTTACACAACCAGGACTTGCACAATCCTCGCAGGCATTTGATCAACTTGCTCCTCCAAAGCTTGGAGTTAGAGAGGAGATGCAGCAATGACCCGTGAAAGAGAGTCAATTGATGTGTTTCACAACCACACAGCAACATCCAGCACCACTAAACCAGACCCACCAACTCCCCAGGCTGGTTGTTAAACCTTCCCAGCAGACTTCCCCTGCACTGCCACAGCCAGATTTTACCAAGGATAAAAATCTAACCCCATCTTGAACTCCACACAGCAAGACAGGAAGATAAATAAATCAATATCTCCTTGCAAAGGAGTGACTGAAGGCACGAAAGTGGCTGATTACTAAGCAAAAATACAATAATAATCTGTCACCATGGGTCAAACTCAGCCACTCTTTGGACTTGTGGCCCTCCAGAAGCCACCAGACATGGCTTCTGGTCTCTCTGTGTGGATTCCATGGGTGATAGCAGCATGCAATTAACTTGAAATGTTTACTCAGGGACAAACAGCAAGAGATTATGAGCAGCCTGCAATTATTATTTGTTTTGACCTATGAGATTGTCAAGCCTATAAAAAAGCAGAGGTGCACCTGTCACTGCAGGGCTGGTGATTCACTCTGCACAGCAGTGTGTACAAAGTAATCTCATCACTGGGATGAAATGATCTCGTTGGGAAAGCAAATTATGCAAGTTCTAAGAATTGTGGTTTTTGAGGCAGGAGAGTCCACATCAGGAAACAGAACAAAGTTCAGCGCCCACAGAGGTAACTGCAGGTGGTTTTCCTTTATACCAGGGGAGGACATGGCAGGAGCACAAACCTGATCAGAGAAACCTTCTCCCCAGTCCTTCAGAACTGAGCAAACAAACTTTGCTGTATCCCAACAGGCAAAGGAGAGAGCAACGACCAAATGGGGTTTCAGTCAGGCAGTTCCACACTTTGCTTTTGCTGCAGGTAAAGAAAGCATCACTCCAGCACTCACTGCCAGCCACCCTCCCCAAACCCAGCTGCACCCAGAGATGCTCCAGAACCTGTGACACCCAAAAGAAAGGGGTTACCTTGCACCTATGGCTCTGCAAACAACAGCTGGTGGGGCCTGAGAGCTCCAGCACGGAGGGTGGTGAGCAGCAGGGAAAGTCTCCCTTGAGACAGTTCAAAGAGTTTTGGTTGTATGGTCCAGCTCCTCCAGATGCTCTGCAAGAAACAAAAGAAAAGTTGCAGAAGGCACTTGGCAGTCCAGGAGGCACAAACCCAGAAATTACTGACAGAACAGGAGACAACTGGAAAGTGATGACAAGCAAGAGGTTCTTCTCTGTCACAATTAGAGCAGGACTAATTACGAGGGGATTAAGCCAGATTTGTGACTCTACACCCTCCTTCCTGCCCACTCTTCAAGGCTCTCACACTCAAGGATTAAAAGAAGGCACTCAGCTGGTGTCTCTTCTGTAGCTCTGCAAACACAGTTCTTGTGCACAGTCACATCCACGTGCAAAACAAAAGCACACTCCATGCCATGCACACCCTGCCTCAGTGCTGTCAACCAGCCCAAGAAAAACCTGTACTGAGACAATGCTGGGCTTTCCAGGAAGGGTCTGGCTCAGCAGCCCTCCCAGACAAAACACTGATTTCCTCATTTGCAGCAGATTAATCAGCGAGCTGCTCTGCGTGCGCGCAGCAATTCCTCGGAATTTCTCAGAGAATTACAGAAATATTGGAACAAAGCCCATCTAGCAAAAGGGATGTGTACACCACTGCACCTCAATAAGCAAAAAAGATTCTGAAACTCCACAGCTCCTCCTGTCAGCCCACACGAAGTGTAGAGTTCTGTTGAGGAGGGGATGTCTCCACCAACGCTGTCAGTGATTCACTTCCACAACTCAGAAACACAGACCTCACTTCTTCCTTGCACTTTTCCAGCTTCTCAGCCACATATATGCTTCTCCTTTTTAAAACACAAACTCATTTCACTTTTCCAGACTCACATCAGAGCACCTCAGTGACTCCTATTGTCTGTACACATTCCACTAAGCATTCCCATTTCCTCTCACACTCCAAAAGCTAACCCAAGGTCTAAGCACCGGCACAACAAACACTCCAAGCTGCACCAGCTGTGCTTACTCCTGCAGCTAAGACAACTCCCCAAGAACCAATTCCATGCTGATGACTAACTCCCAACACCACCATCCAGGTACCTTCACCCCCTCCAGCCTCAATATTCCCTAAACCAGGGGGTTCCCATCATTTCCTTTGTCAAGCACACTCCCTAGGTGAGGAATTTCACTTCTTCTAAGAAACTCCAGCAGGAAAGCTAAGGAGTAAACAAACAGTCTTCCCACACCCCAGCAGTTTATAAAGTGAAATAGATGGAGCAACGGCAGAACAGCCCAGCCTGCAGCAAAGGTATCAATTAAACGTTGGGAATAACGTTCTCCAGGGAAGTGCCAGGAAATTAAGCTCGTTAAAGGCTTTTAACCAGCAACACCTTGGGATGGGGTAAGGCTGAGCAACCCTCAGTGCTGTGAGAGCAAGGCAGGGCAGCTCCCAAGGGTGCTGGTCTGTCCCCTGCCCCACAGCCCTGGGGTGACAGAAGTGATGGGGTACCCCCAAAAAACAGGGGGTGCACACCTGCCAGCCCTCCATACACACACGTTTATTTCAAGAGAACCAAGCACTGTTCGTAAGGAGCCAGGATATTTTGTATTCATAAGCCCAGTTTCCTCTGAGAATGGAAGAGTTTGGAGACATTACACATCGGCCACAATCTTGTTACAATCTTGCCAGTAACAGGGGCTCAGCACCACCAGATACTCCCAAATAAGAGGGGCTCTGGTCACCCCAATTCCAACAGGTAACAGGGGAGCAGTCACGTCAGACTCTCCAGATAACAGGGAGCTCTGGTCACCCCAATCCCCCCAAATAACAGGGGAGCAGTCACATTAGACTACCCAGATAATAGGGAGCTCTGGCTATCCTGGTCCCCCAAATCACAGGGGGACAGCACAGTGCCCAGATAACAGGGGTCATCCCAGTCCTCCCTGATAAGGATTGGTCATCCCAGTCCTCCCCGATAAGGACTGGTGATCCCAGCCCTCCCCGATCCCCCCAATAAGAAGGATCTCTAAACACTCAGTAACTCCCAGTAAGAGGATGCCCACTCACACCACACCTCCCAGTGAACAGGGGGTTCTGCCCATCCCAGTCCCCCCCAAAAAGAGATCCATTCACATCGATGTCCCCGCCAGCACCAGCGGTGCCACTCACCCCGACAGGGGGACCGCAGTCATGCCCGCAACACACAGCCAGTGCCCCCAACACAGAAACAGCCCCCATGCCACGCCAACCCCACCGGGGGATGCCGGACCGCCCCTCCCCAGCACAGAGGGCCCCGGCGGCGGAGCTGAGCCCCAGAGAAGCCCCGGCACCGCACCCTCCTCACCACACGCCCCCGGAGCCGCGGCTCCCCGCACCCACCGCCGCTCCGGCCCGTCTGGCGCTGGCGGCTCCCGCGGCCCCGGCGCGGCCGGCACGTACGGCGGACCGCACCACCCGGGCACACTCGCGGGGGAGCTCGCTCCGCCCTCGCCGCCAGCTAATAGGCGGAGAGCGCGCCCGCTTGTGGAGATCACCCCTCTGCGGCGGCACATGGTACAGCCCCAGGACGGGGGTCTTAAAGGGACAGGAGCGGCGGGAGGGGCCGGGTGAGGTGAGGGTCAGGGGTCGGTCAGGGCTGAGGTGGCCACGGGTGGGGTCAGGGTGCAGAACAGGGCCCAGAGGCCACCGTGGGTGCCAGCAGGGGCTCGGTCTGGGCGCAGGCTCAGAGGGGGGACAGGTTGGGGTGAATATTGTAGTTTGAGCTTTGGGGGCGAGTGTTGGGGTCATGGCGGGGTCAGAGTTGGGGTGACAGTGCGAGCAGGGCTTGGGGCACTGTGGGATCATGAACAGGGGTCAGTGTTGGACACTAACTCTGGGCTCAGCCAGTTCCTGCAGACCCAGGAGCCCTGTCTGTGCCCATGCTCCCCCAGGGTCACTGTCCACACCAGGGCCCCGTGGGGGGATAAGGAGACCCCATGGTGGGGCTGGCACCCATCATTGCCATCCTCTGTGGGAGCCAGGGGCAAGCACATGCTCCTGATGTAACCACAGCCCAGATGATTTCGGTGTTTTGGGGTGGCCTTTCTCTCACTGCCACAGCAGGAAGTTGCTCAAGCAGCTCTGGAAGCATCCCCAGTATTCCCAGTGGGACATTTCACAACCCAGACCTCAGATCCCACAGGAACTGCTGCTCTCCTCCCTGTTGGGTTTTTTGGGGGACGCTGGGTTACAACTCTGCTGTTCCCAGCTTGGCCAAAGCCAGAGGCACAGCTTGTCACTGAGCAGCCCCACAGCTGTGTGCTGTCACCCCAGGCTGGGTCCCCTGGCACATCCAAAGTCACCATCCTGACGCCAGCACGGTGTTGACGTTTGCTCCAGAGTCAATAAATCACTTGGGGAAGGTCCAAAGTTCGAGCTGGGCCTGGCAGGCACCTGAAGAGGTGTGAGGAGGAGGCACAGACCCAAAGAACACCCAGGGATTCAGGGACAGCCTGTTTCCTGAGCAGAGGGTCCAGGGCTGTGAGGTCACCTGAATCCTGGTGCTGTCACTGCAGGACACAAAACAACACTGCTGCTCTCAAGGTGAAAAAAGGGAAGTTTATTTTCTGACTCCAACATTTATAGTTTTCCAAAAGTGACAGTGGATTGGAGGGTGACAGTGGCACCTCTCCAATGACACTGGACAAACCAACAGCCCATCAAATTCCTCTTCTTCCGTAAAAGAATACAAAACAATGAGTTATTTACAGAAAGTGTGTGAGACAATTCATTACAAGAATGTAAACATCAGAAGGCTTAAAAATCTTAAAAAATCAAGGTGACACTAGTGCCACTCACAGCAGCTTTGGGACTGACCCCATGGAAGCTCCCTGGGGTGGCTGGTCTGTGACATACCCCGTGGGGTGAATGGACATGGGTTAAAGATCCCAGTGGCCCTGAGGGGACAGCAGGACAGAGCAGGTCCAGGGCTGGGGTCATCCCATCAGGTGCCCAGACTGGCATTATGGCACAGCCTGTCCCATTCTGTCCCCACAGGGAAGGGGCTGGGGGCTCATCACACCCAGCCCAAACCCCCAGGGGCAAGCAGCAGAGTCCTGCAGCCCATAGAGACCTCTTTGGTCAGTGCTTTGTCTCTCTGCCTATTTCTCCCAGCTCTCCTCTGTTCCCAGCAGAGGAGAGAGTGAACTTTTGAGACTGAACTTTTGGCCACAGAACCCTCACAGTGCCAGCAGACAGGGGACACCATGGGACAGCCGTGGAGGTGGTGTTTGGCAGTGTCCTGGCCTGGCACAGGGAACCTGGCCCCCAGTCAGGACGTCTGCATGGCCAAAAGTTAATGGCAGGAAAGCAAACACAGACCCATTTTCCTGCCAGCACCAATGTCCCCTGCCAGGCCTCCCCTCTTTGTGGGTCCCCTCTCACTCCTGCATGGGGCAGCAATGGAGGTTCAAGGCAGTTCTGCTTTCCTTATGTACCCCTGACTCCTTTTCCCTTGCACCATGCAGAGGGGATGGACTTGGACGTCCAGAGCATCCCTCCCATGGCAGGACAGCTCCTGCAAGGACAGGGAGCAGCTGGCTCTGCTCCCAGCACTGTCCCCAGACTGTCCCTCTGCAGTGACCCTCTGAGGACATGGGGGCAACCCACGGGGATTTCTGGACTCTCTGCACACCCTGGCATGGGATGCAGTGGCAGTTTTACTAGGAATGAGCCAGAGGCACTGAATAACAACCTCCAGGGACAGCACGTTCCCAGGGCAGTCACCTCAGGGGCAGCCATCCCAGGCTGAACTGGGAGGTTATGATTTTTTTTCTTTTCTTCTTTTTAAATTTTTTTCCTGCTTTAGGAACTTCAATTCTCTGTCTCCCCACCAAGGAAATCAGTGGGTACTGCAATGTGTGATGAGTAACATTACTGAGAGCTGAGACAGGCAGATGCCAAAGCCCAGTGAGCTGATGACTTTTACTTCCCTCTCTTCCAAATTTAAATCCCTTTCTCAGCCTTAGACATGTTTACAAATCCTCATCCCAACCTGTTTCCTCCCTCTCAGCAACTTCATTTCCCTGGGTGATGAGTTCTGAGTTCACCCCCAGCCCTGAGGAACTGGGACTTGTTGGACTCCACTGTCCAAGAGCATTTCACTCTTGGGGGAATGGATGCCCTCAGGAAAGCAGGGAACAGAAAAGAAATCCCCACAAACGCCCATCTGAAGGGCACTGAAGACAGGTCCAACACATTGCACATGACCAGGAGGTGCAGCTGGACTCTGAACATTCCTTGGGGACATGGTGGAGGCTGCAGAAATCAGAGAGAGCAAGTGATCTGCCACGGCCAAGAAGCTCCCAGATTATCTGGGAGCAGAAAGAAAATAAATCCAAACTGTGGTTTTGTGCTCAGTCCTGTCCTCGGGGCTCACCTGGAAGGCTGTGGCAGTTGTGTTGTCCCAGCACAGAAAGGTTCATGGCTGGGACCTGCTCCTTCCCTGCTGGAGGGAGGTTTGCAGCACCTGGGACTGGGGCGGTGACTCTTACAGGGCTCTCTGGCACTAAAGCCAGGAAATGCTCCCTGGAAACGCATCCCTGGGACAGCTCTGCCGGGAGAGCGGCTCCCTCACCGCATCACTGACGGAGCTGGACCAGGAAAAACACCGGGATTCCAGCGGATTGCAGCTGCAGTACCGCCTGTCCCCAGCGCTCGTCCTCACTGCGCGTCCAAAGGCACCGGCCTGACACACAGCTGTGCCCGTCCCGTCCCGCTGATCCCGCCCCACTGATCCCACCCCACTAAACCCACTGATTCCACCCCAGGGATCCCATCCTACAGACTCCATCCCACCGATCCCGCCCCACTGATCCCACCCCAAGGATCCCACACCACTGATCCCACCCCACAGATTCCATCCCACTGATCCCACCCCAGAAATCCCATCCCACTGATCCTGCCCCACAGATCCTGCCCCACAGAATCCATCCCACTGATCCTTCCCACAGACTCCACCCCACAGATCCCACCCCACTGATTCTGCTCCAGAGATCCCATCCCATTGATCCCACCCCACAGAACCCATCCCACTTATCCCACCCCAGGGATCCCATCCTACAGACTCCATCCTACTGATCCACCCCACAGATCCCAACCCCCTGATCCCATCCCACAGATCCTGCCCCAGGTATCCCACCCCACTGATCCCGCCCTACTGATCTCACCCCATAGAACCCATCCCACTGATCCTGCCCCACAGATCCCACTGCAGGGATCCCATCCCACAGATCCCATTCCCACAGATCCACCTCCCTGATCCCATCCCCCTGCCCCAGGGATCCCATCCCACTGATCCCATCTCACACCCGTGATCCCACCCCACTGATCCACCCCCCACACATCCTATCCCCTTGATCCCACCCCACCCATCCCAAGAGGGGCAGCTCCAGCTCCCCACTAATAAACAATCCCAGAGAAAACCAGTCCATCTTTCAGACTCTATTTCAAGTTCACACTTTGGAGACACACAACATTTGTGATTGCTAGTGATCCTCATCACCCTTCTGGTAAAAAAAATCAGTGGTAAAATTCCTCAGTTTACAGGTAAGGATTTCACAATCCTTTGATTGGAGGAAAAATCAAGGCACTAACAGGAGTGGAGTGTCAACATTTCAATGTTATCTCTAGCATTTCTTTCCTGGTATTAAAAACATGCTTTTAAATTCCAAACAAACTCCTTATCCTGCTCTTGCTCCACACTAAAAGTATAACAATGCAATTGCTGTCAGCAGGAAAAAGAGGACCATGAAATCAAGTCCACTTGTGATCCCACAGAGGAAATAATCAGGTATGAAACTAGAGTTGTCCCCCAACTCCAAGTTGGTTCCCCAGTTGATGCTGAAAGCCCTGCCTGGGTGCTCACCCTCACAAGAAGAGCTTCTTACTCATATCTTACTCCTGTGAGGTGCAAGTTGTCAACACTGACTTTGGTCTCCTCCAGAAGGAAGCCCCTGGATCCCACATGGGACCATGACTCCAGAGGGACTGCTGGAGAAGTAAAGCAGCTGGGTGACAACTCAGGGTTTGTTCTCACCCTGATGATGGAAAAATTAAAAAGGCATGGATGTGGTTTGGAATGTGCCAGAGCTGCCTCTGGCCAGGCTCTCTGTTGAGCAGGGAGGAGCCCCGAGGCTGTTGAGTTTTTGGAGATGGGTGAGGCACTGCAAGAACATCTCCAAGAGCAGGAATGGCACTTGGTGCTTCATGGAGCACTTTTTTATGGAGCACAGCAAAACTCCAAGGAGAGTCAAGGGCAGTTGTTGAGATCCTGGCTGATTTACAGCTACAGAGACAGCAGATTCCTCCTGGGCACTGCACACTGGGCTACACAGCTGGGAATAAAGCTCAAATCCCAGCAACTCCTTCATTATAGCCTCAGGCACCAAACAGTGAATCCTATTGTAAATCCCTGGCTG